CGCGAAAAACTCTCGAGGCACTCTGGATTAATTCCAGAAATCCGAAAATGAACCGCAGGGAAGAATGCCTCATTGTCACGCGTGATATAGGGCAGTATATAAAACTGCTTTTCTGATGTGAGGGGCACGTTATACTTTCACGTGATTTCTGTGCGGTTGGTCTCTACGTGACATACTTAGTGGAAACCTCATAGAAAGCGGTGAGTGTGCAAAGCTGTGTTCAAAGTGATTGAAATCTTGGTTTGGATTTTCTTTGTTTGGTTATGGAGGCGTCTGGCCGTGTGGGTTGCTATCAACTTGACCTTTCCAGGCTCTGAAGAAGGCGAAATTCGCCGAAACGTCAGTTTAATCGTGAACAAAGAATAGTAACACCTTGCGTTTGCTCAACAGAAATACGAAGAAAATCACTTGATCAATGCCGAGGTTAATAGAAAGTCGGTCGTGGTGTTGGGAATGTTTGCATTTCTGCGATTCCAATTCTACAGCATTGTACAGCCATTAGTCTTTTGAGCACTTGTCGGCTACTTTTCTGATAAACTCCGAGATGAATGTGTTCCATGTCTGGGCAAATAGTAATAGTAATAATAATAATAACAATGAGTAAGAAATTTGTTTTATGCAAGTCTCCTTTCGTATTGCTTTTGTTGGGTAGTCTTTTTTTTGCTTTGCTCTGCGCCTACTGGTGGAAACCACATGGTTTTCGTTTATTGAGGGTATATTAATTGATCGTACTGTGAGAAATTCCAACGGAAAATGCTCTTCCTTACCTATCGCTATTTAATGCTTCGTAGATCATCTATGGGGCAATAAACTTGAGTAGATAATACCAAAAACACCTTCGAGAAAATCGACCTGGTCCAGTTCTCGATCACCGACCCTTACTTTACTGTCGATACATAGACGACTGCTTCATCGTCTGTTCCACACAAGAACAGATGGATGAGTGCTTTGAATTATTAAACCGACAGTCAGAGTATATAAAATTTACACGAGAAAAACCTACCGAGAACTGGCTTCCATTGTTAAACATCCAAATAGAGCTCTCAGCAAGTGGCTATGTAACAAAATGGTATCGCAAGCCAAGTAGTAAAAACATTCTAGTTCACTGCCTCTCCTCTCATCCTTCACACATGAAAAAAGCACTTATCAAGAACAGGTATCACACGGCTAAAAATGTGTGTACAGGAGAAGAGGAAAGGAAGGAACCGCGAAACCTGGCATGAAAAATTGCCATTTCCAATGGCTACGAAGTAGAAGCCACTCGGGTTAGACGAAAACGTTGTGTAGTTTCCCAAAATAATATTTCAGACGAAAGTAGGATCCCCTTTAAGCTACCAATCATGTCAAATGAAGTAAGTCATGCCATTAAAAAGTGCTTAAGAAAAAGTGGTCTTGAAAATTATGTAACGATTATTGACATCCCACCTAATACCCTACGCCGCCTTAGATATTGGCAAAACTCCGGACCGCAGGTGTCTGCGGTGGACAACGAACGCGCTATTGTCCTTCCCGGGGAGTACAGTAAGAGAGAGGCGGAACGAAGGACCCGCATGGTGTGGTGGTGAACGCGTTACCCCTCGGAAAGGATAATAGCGCGTTCGTTCCCAACCGCAGACACCTGCGGTCCGGAGTCTTGCCAATATCTCAGAATCACTGAAGTTATATTTCGAAATATATACCCTGCCATCAAAAAGAGTAGGCAGTAAATAAATCGGTTAATATCTATTTACTTTTTATTTTATAGGATCCGTCTTCACATCTTCTGTACGGATCCTAGCAGTTCTCACATTCTGTTCGTTTCTTCGCATCCATCATCCACTTAGATCTTTCAGATTTTACGTGTGGCTTCGGCTGCTGCTTGAGAATTTTCATTTCATCTTGAGTGTCGTAGAATGCTGGTCGAGTCGATTCTCGCTGGTGTTCAGAGATAGCAGGGCTAGAGCTCTCCCACTTGGATTGCAGTGTTTTTTTCTCAGACAATTTCCCGATCCCCGAGGAGTGAAAAGCTAGGTGAGCCGGCGCGGGATCGAGTGAGCACCGTGGTCGTGATGGTCAGCATCACTGCCACTGTTCTATCCGCCTGATTCGTATAAAACAATAGGACAAAGTTCTTCTACATGGTTGAGCTAGCACAATATTGGTATATTCGGATGACGTTTGGACGTTTTCGACTCCTTCAGAGTCGCAGCGAGTATGTAAATGACACCTTTTGACTGGAGTTCTCATCCACTGTCTGGAAATGTTACGCATGGTCTTATCACTAGTCCGTCGACAGTGCTTTGTGGAAAAGAGATTCATGAACTCTATTTTATAATCTGTTCTAAAGGAAGCGTGTAGCGCAGCAGCCGGAGGCGCTCTGCAATAAACATGGGCTCGATCCCCGCGCCCCACGCTCATCATGCCCTCCATCCCTCTCGACGAACTGGTATCAGACTTGACCGGGAGGATAGCAACAGTGGCTCGTTACATAGTTAAGCTACCGCGAATCACGTAGGCCAGGCATGAATTCAATCACTCCCAGCGATAATTAATGGAATGGAAAGCATAGTGCATCTCTCAGGGATTGATCAACACTGAGAGCTTTATCCCTTTTATTTAATTTGTTTCGAATCATCACGCTGTATTTACATCTTGCAAAAGATTTTTGCGTCATGGTCCCAATTACTTACCAATATTAGTAAGTAATTGGTAGTGATAATTGAATTACAACAATACTAATGTTTCAGTGAAGAGCGGGACAAACAATTAGCCAGAGTTGAAGACCTTCGACAATCCTTGAATGAGATGAGGCAGACGTTAAGGAGTATAATTTCCGCTAACGATTCATTTGCAAATGAATCGTTCATCGATCAGACTGTTGTGAGTCTATTTTCAAGCGATAGCTCTCTGTTTTTTTTTTCCAAATTAGTAGTGTTGTTAAAGCAGCCGTTATTTAAACACGATTTTCTAGAGGTAATTCTAGGACAAGGAGGAGGAATTTTGATGGAGACGTTGTGATCCTTGCCATATACAACGGAAACAAAAGAGAGAAAGCTTCATGACATTATGGCTTGAGTGCAAATAGATTTTTTAGTTGAATGACAAGGCTTGAAATGATGAAGTCTAATTTTTCTGTTACTTTTTTCTTGACTTTGTTAAAACCACGTGACAGGCTCTCAAAGCATCCTGGAAATACAGGTTGTTATTTTTCTAACATTCGCTGACTATTTAAAACTCTTAGATTACATAGAAACAACTGCCATTATGTTAGTTCTGATGAGCTCAGGTGAAAGCAAAGAGCAACATCTTCAATTAACTGTAACCACCACCACAATAGAATCCCATGTTTTCTTTTTCTTTTGCTTAGGCCTTTCTACAGTGGACTTCGGTCAGTAAGATCGTAACGTCGGTGTATTAAAAGGGAAACGACGATATTTTACCGACGAAAGAATAAACTATCTTCTTCTGCAATCCTAATCACAATGACCATATTCGGAAATAAGTGAGCAAATATCTCCTACCGATAAACTTTCTCTAAAATAAGTAAAAAACATGCTTTTTATAGTGGTCGGGCATCGTGGTTGTTATAGAAAATAATGCTACCTTCAAATTTTTTTATAAAATATAGACTGCTTACCACAACGATGCTGAGATGATCGCAAAGCACCGGACCGCAGGTGTCTGCGGTGAAGATCGAACATGCTACTAGCCTTTCCGGGGTTAAGGTGTTCACCACCACATCGTGAAAGTCGTGAATGTCGGTTTGCGGGAAACAACCACAATAGTGCACTCTGCCATCTCAAATTCCATCGCTTCGGTAGCCTAAAATACATGATACTCACTCAGAAATTTAGATGACCCATCTTCACTGGCTGTTCGTGCCCCAGCATAATTTCCACTCTTCGGGGTTTAGTTGGTTTAGCCATTGTGGTTCCCTGGATTCCCGGGTCAGCCAGGCCAAAGTCTCTCCAGGCCGTCACCACCACAGGTAGCCGCAGCCCTTTTAGATCAGTGGGAGGTTTGCCACCATCCGACTTCTATACCAGGACGGTGGTGGGTCCTGGTATTTGTTTACTCTTTGGTGGGCTTTTTGATGAAAATGCTAGACTCTTTCTCAGCTTGGGAGACCTTGCTAGGGTATGAATCCCTCCTCTGTTCATCGCATCCCGACACCCAGGAACTCCTCCCAGCCACGACGAGGCGGTAAAGCCGTTAGGTGGATGATACATGATATTCTGAACAAATAACAAAACATATAAAGCAAAATAAACGAAACCCAATACGGTGAATAGAGGTAATTAATCTCGGTGTGGGCCGACTCTTCATACCATTCCTAACAGTTTTTTGTCGACACAATGACAAAAGAATGTGAAGCGTGCTCGCCAACTGGAGTTTGAAAACGAACAGCAATTGTGCTACAACGTGAATATGCGCTCCATTACACATCGGTGTCCTCTCTATGGCCACACTATGCAAAATGGTGTCTAGAAAAGCTGTCGTTGTTTGTTTGTACTGTCTGGTTTACAAGCTTAACTCTAGAAGTAGTAGTCGTTTTGTTTCGTAGTTGTTCACTTTCTGTTTTGTGGCCAGTGAAGGGGCGCATGTGGTGTAGTGGTTGGAGGCATTCTGCACCATACATGGGATCGATTCTCGCACCCATGGCCCACCAAGCCCTCCTTCCCACCGGGATCGGCAAATTGGTGCCAGAGTTGTCTGGGAGGATAGCAACATTGGATCGATACATCGGTAGGCCACCACGGGTCATTGTAAAGGCCAGATATGCATTCAATCACCTCCAAACGATGCTTAGTGAAGTCGAATGCATGGTGCATCTCTAAAGGATGGATCAACCCGAGAGCTTTATCCTTTATCCTGTATAGGTACTGAACAGAACGTCTGTCTTACATGCACATATTCTGAACTCCTCGCTTCTTTTCTTTTTTTCTTTTGTTTTTTCTTCTGTGCCTATTTTGTAACAGTAATTTGGCGTGTCAATCGTGTATTTTTTGAAGGGAAATTCTATGGCCTGCTACGTCGATCACCAGTTATCACACTTTTTGGAAGAACAACTGCCGTATATCCGTCGTCGATTCATTTACGGGCTGGGCAATTCTTTAGTGGATAAGATTTGGAGTGGCCATCGCTCGTTACAGGAACGAGTAATTCACATGCGAGAGGAGCAATGCGCCCTTGAGAGGTAATTTCATGCGTAGCCTTTTTTTGGCTTGTTGTTGTTCTGTTGGCAAGAAGAATTTGTCGGAGAGGTTCGTTTGCAGTATTATTCACTGAGTGAGGTGGATGTATATGAAGCGAAAGTTCATATTCTCTATCCGGAAGTACGTGGCCGTGTAGCGCAGTGGTGGGAGGCGCCTTGCAATACACATAGGATCGATTCCCGCGCTCCTGGCCCACCAAGCCCTCCTTCTCTCCAGGGTCGGCAAATTGGTACCAGACTTGTCTGGGAGGATAGCAGCACTAACTAAATATATTGGTGGGCCACCGCGAGTTATTGTAAAGACCAGACATGCATTCAGTTATCTTCAAGCGATGCTTAAGGAAGTCGAATGCATGGCGCATCTCTGAGGGATTGTTTAGCGCGGGAAGTGTGAGCTTTGATTCCTATTGTTTTCTATGACATTTATTTGGTACTTAGGACTAAACGTATGTTTAGGACGCTCTACCAAAATCGTCGTCATTATCTTAGTACTCTACAACAAGACTCTCAAATCGAGGAGAAATTGCTTGAGCACGACACCTACATCGTCAGTGTTCTCGATGACGTATGTTGACTTCGTTCAATAAGTCCGAAGTTGCGTCGTAATCTCTCAATACTTGTTTTCAGTACTTCAAACGTCAACAGCTTGCTCTTTCGGAAATGATGGTTCCCGGCTTTTTTGTTACCGACAATCCCATCGATATCGAAGTACAAATGCTCATTCTGGAATTCATTTTGCACGTCCGGTGAGTTCACCTATCTTTCATACTTTTTTCATCTTCATATTTTAGAGAGTCCAATGGATTCCGTTGTGCACAGGCTCCCTGAACCCATTGCCGTTTCACAATCGTCTCAGCACGGATCTCCTATTGTGTACGTACAGCTGTCGTAGATCTCCTGTTGTTGGCGAAGAACTGTCCTACTCGTACTTCATGCTGGGCTTAGTGTCATCGTCCTTATAATAGGTATTTGTTTTTAAATAACTTGATTTCTTTTCATAGGTGTCTGTTCGTTTTTGGATTTGGCACATATTTCATTCGTATATCCAGCTTTGTATTGCTTATGTCATCAGTTCTGGATTTCTCGTAGTCCCTTTGTTAATACATCTTGGATTTTTGAATTTTTGTCCTTGTTGTCATTCTATAGCTATCTTGAGCAATCTGTACAGGATTATATCACCGTGCTTTTTTGAATTATTCGGTTCATACTGGAAAGTAAAAAGGAATGGTAGGTTCAACTAGCGTTGCTCCAACTTTCTTTTTTTAATCGCTATCTTTATTTTGTTAAATTTGTACTTTTTGCCTTGCTAGAGAAATACTCTATGGATAAGTGATGATTTGCAGGTTATAAATAACGATTTAATAATGATGGTTAGTGTTGTGAACTTGGTGGAATAGAACAACTGTGTGAAAGTAGATAGGTAAATGAAAGTATGATCCAGTTAAATGTTCAGTCCATAGAAAGATTAAATTGGTTTCCTTGACAAATGCGATTTTATATTTAGCACAGAAAAAAATCAAGAAGGATTTATAAAAGAGCTTTCGTCCGGATTCACAACCTGTACGGCTTAGTAGGTTGACATGGACACGTTGTTCGATCGGATCTGGGTATTAATCGGTGTCGATAAGATGTCGATTAATACCCAGATCACAGATCAGATGTATATACTTTCTTTCTGTCGAATATAACAGCGCTAGCGGCAGAAAAGCTGCCGAAGGAGAATGCCGGGAATAGGGGTCGTTAGGTCGAGTTTCTCGCAAAAGGAGATCGTTTGTACCTTTACATATAAAGGATGGTACCCTGATAATGCACATTGGGACGGGAGTCATATTTCCCTTAATGAATACCTGATGGTCTGTGCAGAAAAGAACATCGGCGGGACGAAGAAAACAGGTCTTGTGTTGCAAAAATGTGTTGTTATTGTGGAGTTTGTCTTACGGAAATTTTATTCTGATTTATTGGCTAATTTAGGTGCATTCATGTATCAGCCACGAGAATGATTCCTTGGTCATAGAGGACTTCACCATTGTGTGTTTCCGCTATGATTTTTCTATGCTCTTCAATCGAAGTTGACCTTCGAAACTATCATCCAACCTAAGTTCCAGACGAAAATCCTACCCACATGCATCTTAATAGTGGACACTGGTCGGTTGCTAATTTACAAGTTGTTGTTTCTGTACTCGCAAATGTAGCCATTCCTGAAGAGCCTGATGATGGTGGTTGGTTAAAATTGCGTGCTGTAAAGGAGCTGCATGGGTTCCAACTTCCGGTCATTCAGGTGGTCAACCGTTTTCTAAACCATGGTTCTGTTTGAACTAATTTTCGTGAACTGAAATGTTTCAACACCATCTTCTACACTTTGTTAACGTTCCCTTATGATACCAAGAGCTAGTAAGAAAAAAATCAAAACTATAGTGTAACCTGTGTAACTTGTATTCTTGTTTAGCATAAGAGTAATTTGGGAGAGAAGTATGCGTGGAAGAGGTGTCCGTAGTTTCGCTAAGTGAAAGCAGCGAGTGATTTGGTTATCTGTACATGTCATTGTGGATTTTAACTATTATATCATTTCGATTATGTACCGATTGTTTATGGACTAAACGCAAAAGTCACGTGAGCCACAGATATTGCAGCCATTTTGGAAGAATACTAGTTGAAATATAGCAGCATTCCAATCCACAAGGATCGATGACTTGCGGTGTTGAAGACCCGCAAACACCCTATCAAGGATGCTACGCGATCCCAACTGTGACCATGCTCGAGCCTCCTTTAAAATGACAGTAAGGAGAAACGCAGACAAGTCTTCAACCCGTAGCTCTACCCACATGCAAACCGCCCTATATCCAATGAATGACGCTTCAGAAACAATGAAACGAGTGGAAGAGCTGGACAGTACGGCCCATCTGAGTAGTTAGATAGGAATAAATCAGTGTATCTGCGAGAAGTTCTTGACTTGTATTGGCAGGAATGGATCGTAGATCTTGATTTTTTTTTTTGATCGTAGATGATTTGTGAAGTTTAGTCAATGATGCATTGATAGGCAATGTCTCAATTTCGAAAACGTACACCAGCAAGTAATGTGGAGTAAGGAAGCTTGTGCCCGAATCCATTTTCTTGTCTTAATATTCCCTTCAGGCTCTTGAGATACTCAAATATTCATGCTTCTTGTATCCTAGATAATGCGTCTGTTTTTTTAATTTCCGACGGAATAAATCGATTGATATAGACTTTAGTGGAGTTGGTGAAACATTTCACCTAAACGGAACCATCTCATCGAACCACTTCGGAAATACCTTGCATGCACAATCGTAAAAATCCGTCAACTAACTTTTTTATGTCGAGTTTTCACTGAATATTATATTGTGGGTAATTCGGTCTCGCATCCATGTTTTATTATTATTATTATTATCATCCTAGGGTTGGTTCTGGCTGAAATGGTGTTCTGGATTTAATCTCCATACACTGAACCACGCGCACTTAAGCATTTGTGGATATTTCTGCGTAATGTGTAAGCTTAGAAATAGTTCACCACCTTACAACGGCTGAAGAGTTGTATCTGTGTGTCAATATAAATGTATCTGCAATGTGAAATGGAAGTTCACAACAATCAGGATGTGAAACTTTAAAAGGGGTTCGACATTTCTATCCTGAATCTCGGCTTAGAGTGAGTCCATATGCGTTTTCCATATACATGGAAATAGTCATTTAGTTGTCTATGAGTGTTCCTATTTACAAGGGTTTTATATGTAAACTTTTAGAACTTCTATATAGAAGATTACTCCTCCTGCAAGAGGACGCAAATCTAGATTTGGCTGTGGAAGAACGTCTTAAGAAATCCAGGTCGGAAACCTCGGATAACAATTAATGAAGGTGAGCGGCTGTCCCAGTTTATCATGATGACTATGCCATTCCTAGCAAGACACCATTCTAGAAACCCTCTTCTCAATGGTAGCTGTGAAGTTCTTTTAGTGGAAAACCTCATTACGAAATTTATAACTTCGTAGTAGGCCGCAGATTTTGCCCAATAGATATCGTCTTGCTCTCAAGGTATTATACATAATCGAATCAGTGCCTTTTTTATGAAATATTTTTTTAAGAAAAGGAGAGAAAGTTAAAAACTCAAGTACGAAAGTTTTAAATCATGTAAATTTGAGCTTGTTCAGGTCTTCAGCTGGCTTTTGGGAAAATATCTATCATCAAAACATCGATGAAGAATGCGTGCAGGTTATTAGACACTTGAAACACTGCTAAGGAAGCCTGGAGTTCGAAAGTCACTAAAAGACCTGCATACAGAAACCTCTGAGCTGGTACGTGATAAGTCGTGAGAGCCGCACAAAACCACCAACTTGCGTCTGAGCTGTCAAACCTGTGTAGAGAGTTGACTTTGTGCAATGCAGTCGCAAGAATGCTGAGATATGAAAGAAATTCGCGCGTTTGCTGATATCACCGTTAGAGTAAAGATGTGGCTAAGAGAAAGAAAGCACAATGGCTTCGGCCGGTGTAGTGGGTTGCCCATGAAGCCCGAGCAAGGGTAAGCAGGGGTTCGAAGCCCAACTGAGGCTCCGAGTTTTGTCCATATCTTAGCATCATTGTGGTTGTATTTCGCATAGTATTCTGCCATGAAAAAGAATAGGCAATGAGCAGAGGTTAAGACATTCTTAATTCACAGTTTTCATTTTCTTTTATTCTCGTTGAAGGTGCAGAAGTTTTAAGTTCAGTAGAAGTTGACTTCATTCATTTGTATCAAATGAAGTCGTCATTGAAGTTATTCTCTCGCCTGCTTTTAAATGAGCATTATGAAAGGGGTTAGTCTTGAATTTCAAAGGTTTCATGGCGTAGACATGCGCGGATTTCAGTTTTCTGTTTCCTATGCCATGTTAATTAGTTTGGTCAAAGTTCCTGTAGCACCGTCATATGTGTAACCTCCTTAGTTTTTTCGTAATTCAGTTCGTTAGTCTGTTCAACGATATTAGTTCTTTTCAACGCTCGAGTAAAAGAATAAAATATATTGCTTTCGGCTTTGAAACGCCCTTATGGGAGCGCCATACATTCAGCTTCACTAAACATCGTTAATGATTAAATGCATGCCTGGACTCCACAGTGAATTGCGGTAGCCTGCCGATGCATGAAGTCAATGCTGGTATCCTCCCAGACAGGTCTAGTTCCAATTTGACGAACGCAAAAGGATAGAAGGCTTGGTGATCCTGGGGCGCAGGGATTAATCCCATGTGTATTTCAGGGCTCCTCCGGCCATTGTGCTATACGGGCTAGATCACGGATAGAAGTGGATAGAAGTGCTTAATTTATTTTCCAAAAAAAAGAGTTGGCTTCGGGGATCGTTCTTTCCACGATGCGTCTTAAAACGCCGTTTACAGTCTCGTCGTTAATGCATTCATGACATGGAGGTTGAGCTGCACGAAGTTCAGCAAGCACGTTTAATTTTCTTCCAGCTTTTTTTCTCCCAATGCCCTAGACAGATCAATGTGATGTCTGCACAAAACATGTTATAAATATTGTGGCGGAATTGGAGACATACTGTCAGAATTTACCATCAATGTGCCGGTAACAAGAAAAACGAGAGCAGTTGCGAAAGTTATTCTACAGACTATTTTGGACTTCAGAAATCCTTCAACATCTCGCATCTTCATGGAAAACTTTTTTCTGTATTACTTGTCCTCGCATTGGCTACGCAGACAACCTCAACACTTGCGTTCGATTCATTTTCTCGCATCTACTGGCATCCACGGAGGCCCTCGAACTTTTTTGCTTGTCGATTCGGCTGATGCTTGGGGATCTTAATCTTCTCTATGAATGTTGTTGAAGGCTTGTCGACATGATTCTTCCTGGAGTACTGGAATACCCAAGCTAGCGCGTTTTCATATGGAACACTGAAGCAGTGTATATTTGCCACGAAAAGTGGCAGAGAAAGTAAAATGATTTATACACAATAATTAATATAGTTTAAATATTCTGACTGTTACTGAGATGCGTATATCGTGGTTATTAGAGGTGTGCTCATTGGTTATTTATTGTTTCGACGCAGACCCAGTCCAGTCAAGCAAGCATCTCATCTTTCCGCAATCGACAAGTTGATATCGGACTTGTCTCGGAAAAGAATCGTCCGCTTCAGAAAAATCAGTGGCTATCTGCCTGTGGTGACGACGTGGTAACACTCTATCATGATTAACCAATGATTTCAAAGAGTCAATTAGTTCGTCATTCCACGTACTCTTGAAGAAGACGAACTTTATAAGCGCGAGTGGAGCCCGTAGGAAAATCCAAAAACACTCGCGAAAGACGGATGCAGCACAAGATACTGGACGAAAGAAGTCCTGTATCTGCTCAATATGTGACCTTGAGCCATATAAAACAAAATACCACTTTGCTAATAGAATTGGCTATCTAGTTTTATCTCATAGGTTGCACAGGTTGTTTATTAATAGTGGGTAGCATTGATCTTATCTTTTGGTTGCAGGTGCTTGATCTCTTGGTGAACTGAAAAATTCTTATATGGGTTGCAGTTCACAACCTTCCTTCGCTCATATTTTGTGACAGCGCCCCCTTGTGTAAAAAAATAAAGGTCGGATGATTAAATTGATATACGAAGGCTTTCCTGCTATTGGTCTCCTGCACCGAGATTATGTAAAAGTTTGTGTTAAAAATTAATGTGACTTGATACCTCGGAGAGAGAGAGAGAGAAAAATGGCAAGAATCATCGCATCGCATCGTAGAACGGAAATTTTTTATAAACTCCATTTTTCCGTCTCTGTAGATACAGAGCAACATACGGTCACCCCAAACAAATCTGAGCGTCGGCTGCACATTTCAATTCAGTGCCCCGAATCGTCTCTCACCAAGAAAAGACGGGAGTAGTCATAGGCGGAAGACCCAGAGAAAGGAAAGAATTTTGAGCAGCATACAAGGAATTATTTATGTGAGCTCAGTTTGCAAAATAAATTTATACAATACACTTATTTACGCATGATCAATTAGGGTGAATTACAGGATGTCGAGAAACTCTTGAACGATGTATGAGAAAGTTATTATTCTGTGGTACACGTGAATTACGTAATAGGGCTATCTTTCTGTGTTTCGGAGATTAGCAAAAACCTGAAGCTGCATCATTTTTTTGAACCTACAACATTGCAAAAATGCAGTTTACGAGTCCATTATATACAACGGAGCCAAGTTTCAAAACTGGTGTGTTACCATGAAGGGAAATAACGTCCTGGCTTTGTTTCATGTTGCTCTAATATACTCAGAAAGTGTCTTGAAAATAGCCGTTTTCTACTGATCCACAAATATTGTTTCAGACGCAGTTTTCTAAATGGTCGGCTTTATTATCATCAGTCCTTTTTAATTTTCTAGCTGTTTCTTCTACTAACCTAGGATTTTCGTGCTATTGAACACATTTAAATTTTCTCAACTGTTCGTGGACTCGATGTTCCAGTCCCTTATTTTTTCCATGGATTCAACACTTTCTGTCTGATAATTCACCTATGGTAATTTTTACCCTTAACAAATTGGCGCTCTATTCAACATAACAAAAAAAGCAAATGAAAGGAAAAAACGATGAAACTATTTTTAGAGTATGTTAGGAAAAACTCTTACTAGGACGAAAAGGAGCATTATAATATTATCTGTGTTGTAGGTTGCTCAATTAATTCATAATTTCCAATTAACTGGAAGTTTAAGTCGAGATAGTCTGGTTTCTTTCTGTACAGGCTCAAGATACCCTTACTAACGCTTTCCCAGGTCGCTATCACATGCAGTTAGCTCTCCATGTTTATCAGCGGAATTCATTTCTGTTTTGATTTATTCTTGGATGAGTATCCGAGTGGTAATGTTGAACTGGATTCAGTTTTGGAGAGCACACGAGCTTAACGGAAGATATGAATTGTCGTCATAGATTGCAGTCTGAGGATCACCTTCAAGGCACCGAGCCAAAAAACTGCAGGCACATATGCTGCGGATCATTTCAAAGATATAAATATTTCACTTCATCAAACTAACTGTTTCATTTTTAATGGTTATCTTTGTCTGGATCACATAAATATTCTCTATGCTTTGTTGTTAAGGAGTTGAACATTGTTGATTTTTAGAGGAAAGGAATAACGAACAAACCCAGAACAAAAAGTGACGAAAAAGAAAGCATAACAAATTCAAACTTAGTTTTAAGCTTGCTTGTAAAAATGGTCAATTCGTTGCTTTCACTAGTGAGCAGAATATGCATCTCTTGCAGATTGTATCCAATAAGTAGGCATTAAATCAGTCAGTCTTTGTATGAGTGTTTAGCGCAATGCCATGCAGTATACAGGTGGGCTTTGGTTCCACTCTGCGCTTTGGGCTAACTACGCTATCCAATCTTTCGAAGCTAGCAAATTCGCAGAAGAATTGTCAGGAAGGATAAAAGACACTGTCTTGCCAGATCGATCATCTTCCCGAAGTTATCGCATAGGCCAAATCGCATTCACTCATCTCTACGATGACACCAATGGAACCGACCTCACAGTATATCCTCAACGGGTTGGTCAGCGCCGAACGTCTTAGCAGTTGCTGACATTCCTCATCTGTAGTTTCAGATCCATTCTTTTAATGAAGTGTTTAATTCTTTCGCTTGCAAAAAAACATGCATGAAGATACATTGGTGACGATTTTCGGAATCGTTTTGAATTTCCGAGAGGGAAACATTTCGGAGCAGACAACGAAATTTTTATTGGATTTGAAATTTTCTCACTTTCCAAAGAGAAGTGTCCCAGGCACACCCTTTTGTTATCCTGCCTGTCTTTTTCGTCACTTTATGGTTTTTTCCCTTTGAATTAGCTCTAGCTAGGTTTCTTGTTGTAAAGTCATTAAAAGCGTATTAATAAGAAATTATCTGATCCATTTCATGCTAACAGATTTCAACAAAAAATTTCTCTCCATAAGATCGATCCCATTAAAACAATGAGCTCAACTTGCTGGTGTAGTAGTTCACATCTTCGGCATTGTCCTAGGGTGTTTAACGTGATTTCGTAGATTTCGATGTTTTGAGCGGAAGGTAATTCGATTTACATCGATCAGCTTATTCAATTTAGTCGCGTTTGCTGCACAAAAGCATCGAACCAACCATAAAATGCCTACCGATCATGGCGACCTTATGAGGTATCGGTTGTTATGTAGTATACCAAACAATCGCATGGTTATTATTAAAGGATAAATGGATAAAGCGTTTGGCGTCGAGAAATCTTTAAGGAATAAAGCTTGAGTTACCTACTTCATATAATTCATTTGTCTCCACACATAGCACAGCTGAGGTGAGTTATTGCATTTATAACCTACACAGTGACTTGGAGTACCCTACTAATGCTTCACACCGATGTATCACCCTCCTAGACAATTATAGTAGTAATACCTACCCTGATGGATTGAGGACTTCGTTAGCGCATGGCTCGAGAACGAACCAAAAACGTGCGTGTTTCAGGGTGTCCTTCATCAACGCGCTACACATGCCTTTTATTGCTCATGTTAACCTACTTGCCCAACTGTTTGTTGTTAAAGTCATGATTAAGCAGAGAAACTTTTATTTCTTATATGGTGTTTTTTATTAGAATGTGAAGCCATTATTATCCTTCTTTCTTATCATTACCCAAAATAAGCCTGAATTAAGTTGAGAATAGACATACTTTATTTCTAATGACAAGCTAAAGGCGTCACAATATTTTTCTCTGGTATGAGGGTTTTATAAGTTTATTTTCAATAAAGTGTCGTTCCCATTTTTTTCAAGCGATTAGCTCATTAGCAACGGTGTTGCTGAATATTGGTGCTAATTCGGCATCTGGAATTAGCCAAAGAACACTACAGTCGGGTGTCAGCTTGCTAAGTGTCATCGAAAAATGCACCATGTGTTGTTGGCATTGGCCCATCGACACCAGGTTTACCGCATCTCTTTGCCCTAATGTGAGTAATCCGACATCCTTGTTATTCTAAAGGTTTATGTCAATCTAACAGGATAGATTTTATGTAAGGTATTAAAACATTACTTTTAGAGGAATGCAAGAGTTTCAAAAAGGTTCAAATATTAATCGTCCTTCTTGTTGGCATTAAGCACCTGTTTTCGGTGGAACCTGGAAAACTCTTGGACAACCACTGCTTGGAAGTTACGCAATTGCATTAGACCGGCGTGAAATCTTTTACAGACTTCTTCGAATTTGCAAGCACATCGCCGTTAGAAGAACAAATCTACAGAAATTGCTATCGCACAACGCGCAAATGGCGAAGCCGAAGCACAGAAGCAACCAATAGCGTCGCGAAGGCGGGGCATGTCCACTCCGCCCATTTTGTATTTGCTCGTTAGGTCGTTTGTTGGTTCGTTAGCGGTTCGTTAGAGCATCTTCATGGAGGTTCATCAGAGCTGCTTCGTCGACCCAACCGCCTTCGCGACCGATTTTTCCGTTTCGCGAGCAGATTTCGTCGTGATGCGACCTGAATGTGTTGTCGCCGTGCCGGAAACGCTTGTACCGCGATCAGATTTTGCCGCGTCGACGGCGGACGTGCGACAATTCGTTCTTGGCCAGGATTGTGCAAGCCGCATGAATAGCGATGAAGATTTCGTCTACGCGGCGCCACTCAAGGTGAGAGGTCCCCTGACCAGTCGCTTCATATGTGGACTATGGTGACCCTGCTGCTTCAGTTCATATTGAAAAAATCCATTCACTTCATCGTGACACTTCCTACATCTTTTTGTTGTGTTACCTTAGTAAATTCAAGCTGAACTAATCAAACTAATAATATCATCGTATGATCTACACACACACACACCAAATTCTTAATGTGTTTTAGTGAAAGATAAAATTTATCATTTAATGTTTTACTTTATCTAATATCACAACAAAAGTTAGCACAGGTATGACAACGAAGCACAGCGGCAAAACGTCTATTTTTTCGTCTTTGTCAAGATACTTAATAGAATCGCGGCAACTTTCAATTTTCGTTCAAGCGACAACGCTGTTGTCAAAATCCGTTTTCTAAGAAACGTGAAAGCGAAGAATTGTGTTTCACATCCATCAACAACATCCATGTGTTCGTCGATCTTTCATGCCTTTTTCACATCCGAATCTCTGCTTGAAGTACCATTTCGATTTAGTGGAAAGGCCTAATGATCAAGCATATTTGTATTAGTTGTTTTTAGGCTTCATACAGTACTCATATTGTTTATGAAATCGATACGTCTTTGAATAAAATGATTATCTAATTGTGAAAGCAAAGCGTCTCTTGGTTTTTTTGACAGATCTGCAACTCTCACCGTTCACTGGCTATTCAGAATAGCAGCAGGATTAATAAATTCGTTATTCCTTGATGAACATGCTTATAAACATTTGAAACTTTGTTTCCAAGGTCTCTCAGCTAGTTTGCAACCGCATTAATTAACATTCACTTACACGCTACCATCGTTCAGGCTTACTTTATTATTTCAAGGACTAAAACTTTGCAGAAAAGTGAGATTCTGTATTTTTGGTTTTTTTTACTTACTCCTTTGCAAAAACCTGTGTCCAATTTTTTCACTTGTAAAAATTTATTTTTTTGCTTGTAACTGATTTGGCCTTTCTAGAAATTCCCAGTCGTGTTGAATTGAAAATTCTCTAGTTGAGATCTGGATATGATTGCATAGTTTACTTTAACAAGGACACTCATTTTAAATCCAATAATTCAAAATTTTTCTTTTAGTACAAAGCGGAAATCTGTTCCGGTTGTGACCGTGCTATTCATGAACGAACATTGCTCACTGTAAACGGAAGGTAAGACAATCTAAATAGATGAAAATACTTTAACTCAAACATTAGCTGTTGGACCTTTTAATTCACACTTCTGATGCTGTGAAGATTAAAATAAATAGTAAGGCTACCAGATATATACTTTTTACTGCATATATCCAAAAAAGGTTGCTGTGTACTTTCTATTTACTGCACCCATCTTTATCCTTTGCAATATTCGCAGTTATTTCCAATCATTCTCGTAGCTCAGTGCTCTGAGTTTCGTGGTATTGAATTGATTTGCCGTTCACACTGTAGATGCATAGGTGTTACTACAAAACTTCTGTCCTATAATGGAATAAAGTAGAGCTATATATAAAGAGTTCACAGGGTTAGTAGATGATTGAGTGCCTTAAAATGTATCGCCTTATCAGCGGTTATGACATTGGTAGTTTTTTTTCGTTTTTCCGAAAAGCAAACATTTTTTTATAAGGAGATTTCCAAGACCTGTTCAACGCGCTATATATCGCTGTTGTGGTTTAAATTGGCACTTGTATATCTTGTATTACAGAGTTTTTTCACAAAGTAGATGTCGACGCTCTACCAGTGGAAAAAAAGTTGCCCAAAAACGATTGTGTTAGCTCGTATTATGTTTAGAGTAATTCTATTCCATCGAGCTGGAATAGTTCTCTTTTAGTCAATTCTAATTCTTTACTTGATTTTTGGTTTTAAACTAAGAAATTTCCATCAGATTTCAACTTGAAGTGAAACAGCTGTTCCGGGTTGTTAAAAAAATTGCAAACAAGTTTCATAACAAAAGTTTACCGTAGTAGTTAAAAAGTATCCAATACTGAATTTAGACATGCTGTAACCTATGGTTAGCTATTATACTCGAATGTTAAACAGAGCTCCTTGCGATTGTAGATTTGCTTAAGGTGTAACTGTGAAACCGTCACATATGAAAGCATGCTAGTTTGAGCTCAAAGGCTCTACGTAAGATATCAATTTTGGTTACGAGACACATCGACGACCGAAAGAACTTTTGTGAACTTCAGATCCTGGCATGAATCGTGTCTACGATGTGCGTCATGTACTTCTTCATTGCAATCCCAACATACGTGTTTCTATCGTGAAGGCAACACATTGTGTAAGACCTGCTATGCACGGTAAGTGGTGTGGTATTTGTACGTGACGCCTTCTCCTACTTCTCAGTAAAACGATGCTTCGTCGGCTGTTGTAATTTAATTGACTCAATCCGTTAACTCTAGCTGCTCTCTTGACATCTGTGCGTTCGTGCCCCATAGGACCTAATCAACGCTACCGTATCCTCCCAGCCGTCACCCCTGCGAGCCGATGCGGCGGCGCTTCCGTTTTTCGAACAAGAAACGAATGACAGCAAATCGTTCAATTATGTCAACGATAATGATGACTGTGGTGGTGACGATGATTTTTGTCACACGGTAACGAAGTAAAAGAATTTAGTAGTACATAATCCTATAATGTATGGAAAGGTTTTAAAAACCAGCGAAGCTCGTAAAAATTCGTGCTTTTGTGCCGCTTTGAACGGACCGTCTTTTCACTCAACTTTTTTATTCCAAATCATGCTCCTTTTCGTTAAAAAGTCGTACATTATTTTATATGTACCAAAATATTTTCGCACTTTAGCAGCTTTAGTTGTCTATGTAAAAACCGACTTTTTCCAGAAATGGCAAACTGTTTGTTTCAGGAAAAGGATTGTACCAACGGGAAATTTAGAAAGTACAATAAGAGATATAAACACTTTTAACATCTGTTGCGAAACAGGTGAACGCGCGCTAAAGTGCTACAATCTGATTTAAATTTAGTGTTTGGAATAGTGTTTGGTTCATTGTTTCCCGTGAAATCCTTGTCTTTATTTCACTATTTGTGTTTTTATGCATTATCTATTCAATCCGTTTCTCGCTTGAAAAAGGGATGAAAACGGTTTAGTTTAGTGTACAGGTGTTTAGGTAACCAACAGTAAAAAACCTTCACTTACATGGAGAGCATTTTTTCGAACTCAATGTTCAAAAATATAATATTTCTCCAAGAATCTTAGTTTGCCAGACCTTTCTTTGAAATTAGTCATGGCTGTCAAATTCATCAAGATCACCAAATGTTTACTCGAATAAAACTGCTGGTTAAAACCACTGCACATTATCCTTCCCCATTTTTTTGATGAAATCCGCAAGAATAACTAACCATGAAGAGCTATCACAAAGTTTACTGTAGTCGTGTTCTGTTCTCGTCTTATTATCAGTTATCCGCTTTAAAAATTATCCTTATTTGGAAATCTCATTCACAACTCATTTACTTCAGTTATCTGGGTAGTTGTCTCTGGACGTTCTTGGCATCTGTCAATGTGTTTAATTACGTCATGCATGCTTGTTAGCATGATTACGGTAGTGGCGATTAGCACTGATGTACAACCGGTTATTATTTGATTTATGCGATATCGTGATGCAGATTTCTGGATTAGAGACGTTGTCAACCACCACGTTCACCAAACGTTAGGCGATATCGTGGATAGTCGTTTATTCGCTCGTTCAAATGAATATATTAGCATTAACACTTTCATATATCGCCAGTGCGTAATCCTGAAACTAAACTAAGTGTATGTCTTTGGATTATCTAGCTTATACGGGTTCGCTACAAAATTGTTCATTTGGCCCAACATTTTGCCAACTTTTCTTTCTTCGCCTATTTTGAAATGCGTAAGCATAGCATTGTCTAAGACGTAGAAATGTGCCAACACATGACCCAGTATATTTTAGACAGGATTTTGTTCGAATTCATGGTATCTATGGTTGGTTTGTTGTCACTGATCTTACCGCAAATCATTTTCGGCATATATAAACCACTAAAGACAACAAATTTTGTGAATCTTCGTATACACCAACTCCCTCGGTGTTTCCTATTTTTCAGAAACTTCTAGTTTAGCCGCGTTTTCCAATTAGTGGAGAATTTTTAAACAGTTGGCACAAAGTTATCTCTAGCGTAATGAGTAGAAATCAAACTTTTTTTATATATACAGCTTAATATCCTTTTTAAAGCTCTAAAATTTTATCATTATGAATATCATAGTCAAGTTAACGTTCATGCTAGTTACCTTATTCCTTTCATGAACCATTGATGATTAACATTTATAATAGGAGACTATTACTTCGACTATACTTTAGTAAGCTAAGGAAGTTCTCTGAAAAACCGTATTTTTCTCAACAGTTTTTTCCTAACCATTTCAGAAGTGGTTCAATATGGTAAACCGTTGCCAACAAATTGTCTCGTAGTCCATCATATTTCTTTTTTCCGGCTTCCTAAGAAAATTTCATAATAGAATTTATTAACACATTAGCTTTAAGCTACTTTCTATGCCAATCTGCTTGATCTGCGCCGATTTCGTGATGTAGAACTTGTAATGGGAATCGATTTTTAATATATTAAAATTTCGAGTTCATAAATGACTACACGTTCATGTTATGGAAATGCAAATTGTATAATTGTCGTCTTGGGGCGGGCAAACACTTGTGTATAAAAGAAGCCGAAAACGGATTAGAACATCGGGATAGGAACAGTCAAGGAGCTGAGCAGATGCAGTCAATTGTGGCTTTGAAGTCGATAAGGACATGGATGTGTCGTCACTAACGATCGAGGAAGAAGGTGACAGCTTCCGCACTATTATCACAACAGCTCCGACAGAAACGATACCGAATAGACTGAATAACATTTGAATGTAAAAACCTCGAAAACAGCGCTAGAAGAATTGACTTCCTTTCAAAAATGTATGCTAAAGTGCAATTAGATTGGCTAACGGTAGTTTGGAATACACGTATCTCAGTGGGTGAGCGTGATCCAAACTTGGTTGTTGGTTGAACCCCGTGTTCGGGGCAACCAAAGCCCTCCAGTCCTTCGGGGTCGGCAGATTTGTCGTTGATTTGTTTTTGAGGACAAAATGCGGACTCTTGATATATCGATGGATCAATGAAAACTAGCGTATGAGGCAAATATACATTCGATCACCTCTACAATGCTACGGATGGAGTTAAAGCGAATGCCACAACCCAAAGCGACTGTTCAGAGCTGGTCGCTTTATCCTTCAACCATCTTTTCCCACTTCGTCACCGTAACTAATCAAGTTAGTACAGCATATTTCGTGTTTTATGGCCCTCGTCTTAGAAATTTCCACCTTTTCATGTAAAAATAATTGGTGAAATTCTTATAAATCCTACTAAAAAAACAATTAAGAGAATTATGAGTCCAACATTAGCATGTTAAAGGAGCAGAGTACTGAAATTAGTTTCAAATTCTTCCCAACTTATAGATGGTTTTATGTGGAAATGAGGTTGCATATACGCATATTTATTTAGCATTTTCTCTAGTTTTATCCGTCAATAAGATTGTGAATCACCAGTTGACATGGAAGAAATATGCCTACTATTTGTTGACTGTTTGATAGTGCTGATTAATATCTAGTCCAAAGTACTTGAATAAGACAAATGCATAGACAGAGCTAACTAGAGCTTTGCACAATCTGTTCGATTTCCTTGTTTTTCGTTCCTCTTACTCCTCTTTGAATGATTCATTCTATCCTGAACTTTTACCCACTTTGACTATGCTAGAAATCTTAGGATTAGGAAATATAAAGAGGTTTTGCACACCTTGGTCATATTATTTAATGAATTTTGATTGCTCGTCATTATGAATTACATGGCATGGTGCAATTTCGGTTTAACAAGTGCGGGGACAATTTAGCAAGTTTTTCACCTGGATTACTTATAAGTCCGTGCCATTTTTCAGAAGAAGCAACAATCGACCCTCGTGTTGCAAAATAATGTTTCTCATATGCCTAGCGACCATGTATTCACCACATTGGTTGGGAAACTAACCTTAGTATTGGACTAGTCGCATGTGGGTATCTGAATGGAAATGTCGACCTTCTTCTATACTGTGATGCATTTGGGGCAAACGAATCGTTGTACATACGCTCACCAACTCCATCCGAAACTGTGGAGTGGTAAACGATTGCAGAGGGATCGATGTATTTTAAATATAGATGACAACTTTTTGTCTAAAAATGTCATTTTGCATGTTTGAAAACAGATTTTGTCTAATGCGTTGATGAGTTTCTTATAAAAGTTGTGACAAAAGGGCTTTAACGTTATGGCGAATTCGCCTTCTGTGGAATCTCATTTGTTAGAAAAAACACCTGCAGCAGTCATCTCTTGGAATAAAAATATTGTTTCCACAGTAAAAGATGCTGAAGTTTCTTTTTCCTAAGCGAAACAAATTAGTTCTTGAGTTACGAAGTTAGTTAGTACAAATAGATAAACTGGGTTTTACGATATAGTTATGCCATATCTTTGATAAGGTCGTGAAGTAAATTTCTGCTATTTTATATCATTAACCCTCACAATTACTCGTTATCGAGCTGAAATATATATTCGATGATCTTCCACCTAATATATAGCCAATATTGGCGACTTTACCCGAAAATCCAACAATGAGAACGCCAGCACGATTTGGCGTCTTTCTAAAAGGAACCTTATCAGGTGGCGACAAAACCCCACCACTGGCATCGGTTTGTGCTGCCAAAGGGTCGATGCCATTGAGCTGATATTTCGCAAGCCGCAACGAAAATTTTTCCGATCAGCGAAATGTTACTTTAACAGAAATGGTGCTGAGAAAGGAACGATTTATGAATGCCGGCCACAGAGGATTTGGGACTACAACTTGGACAAGGTTATGCTGTAGTGTTTGTCTAACAATTGTTAACGTTGCAACTGATCTTCAAAGTTGTTTTAGTTTACCCTTTTAACGAGTTCTATAAAGTGATATAGAACTCATGTAAGGTAACCACGAAGTGGAACCATTAATTAGCATCGTCACAACCCGATTTATAAAAATGAGTATTCTATGGCTTTGCTGTCCCTAGAAACTTGATTCGTTTTGTGAATTTGGCACTAAACACTAAAGATTTGTTTTCAGGCAATTCGGTACAAAATGTGCTTCGTGTGCACGACTTATCCATGCCACTGACTGGGTTCGAAGAGCTAGGTCCTTTGTGTTTCATTTAGCTTGTTTCGCATGCGCTCAATGTAAACGGTAGGATATTTTTTTTTCTCTTGAAATTGGGTCAATTTATTTTAATCATTCAACGTCGAATAACTTTTTGAATATTCGAAGATTTTGTAGTGATCAGTTTAGCTTATGAAATTAGAACAAGTCTTATTTGAAGGTAAAAAGATGTTTAACATTTAGTTGCAACTTGACGGCATCCAATATTTAATGGAATGCTGACGTTGGTGTATTGCCAAATAAAAAATCTTTCGAAAGAACAGCGTAACTCAGCAGACAATCTAAAACCATTTCTCGTTAGACAGATGACTTAATGTCTTTCGATCGACTTTTAGATTTTCTCGCTTATGGAACATTCTCATGGTTCAGCGTTAACTGAAGTGAGTTTAACCGATAACTATTTCAGACAGCTGAGTACCGGCGAGGAATTCGCGCTACAAGATAATCGCCTACTATGCAAGCAACATTTCGTGGAACTGGTCGACGGCGACTCAGGTAACTCGATCTTCCAAATTCATCTATGCAGAGGACAAAAGTGGTCCAAAAGATGAATGACTTTGCAGACAAGGTGTCTAAAGAACGATTTTAGGCAGCAATCAACAAAAACAGAAGATCAAGCGAGTGCGAACGACTTTTGCCGAGGAACAGCTTAGTGTTTTACAGGTTATTCTATGTATCTTAATAATTTTTAAATGATTGTATCGCTTGTAACCTTTACCCTTTTCATGGTAATAGAAATGCTAGAGTCAATTCCAATAAAATTTGCATACGTGTCTCTCTCTAGTAGGAACTCCTTCCCTCAAGTGCAACACCTTGTAGATTACGCTTGCTCGAAAGATAAAACAAGAAACATGTTCTATAACCCTATTGCAATATTCCTACTTTATGATCTTCAGAAACAAGCTTGTCTATTGGGTTGGAGGTCTTTGTAATGATATCCAATTCAACCCAGTCGATAACATTTCTTATTAAACGGCCAACATTAAGATGAAATACTTGCACTGCTCTATCCAATCTTCAAAGTCATGACGTATGCAGAAACGCCGCTCGCCTTTTGTCGCTAAAATGCAAGTGAAAATTGAAGTTTTTGAAGTTTTTCTTCTAATTGCGTGACATGAGCTGTTAGATAAGGGATGATGTGTTTGGCTTTGATGAAAACCTTAGGAATATGCCGTGTTCATCAACCATTGTTATGGGTGATTGAAAGCATTTCTGGCTTATACTGGATTGCGGTGGCTTGCCGTTGTGTCAAATGAGTGACCATACCTATGGACAAGTCTGATACCAGTGTACCGACGCCGTAGAAATGGAAGGTTTGGTGAATCCGATGTGCGGGATTGAATCAGCTGCCGATCTAGTACGCGTTGCAGGGCAGCTCTAACCAATGCACTACACGCACGGTTCAGTTACCATTGGTCTATTGATAGTGCCATAGATAAGTTTTACCCGTTAGGTATCTTCATTTCGTAGCGAGTAGCATTCGGAGAGTGCATTGACACAGAATACAATGGTTAGAAAGGTGAACACACAGTCTGGCTTTTTTTGTTTTCTATCCAAATCGTTAATTGCTTATCATTATTTTTGCCATTGTTCATTCGTGAATACTAGTTGTTGCTTTTGCTGCCAAAAGGCAACTGTATAAGCAAGCATATTAGTTGCCTATTTGGATAGTTTATGCTAACGAGCGAGTCGTGCGGGACACAACATATCTTCCACGCGCTCCCCACACTTCACCATGTTTTCTCATGGCGATGGTCTGCTTCGTAACTGTGGGTACCATTTCATGATTTATTAGTCGGTTTTAACCTTTTAACACAGCTGCTTGATGTGTTCCACAAACACGTTCACCCAACCCATTTTTCGGCTCACCTTATCGTTATCGTCGATGTGACTGAGTTGCCCGTCCAGAGGAATAGGTCAGCTCTCAGAGGATCGATGTAATAGAGGTGAGTGCGGAGTTTGGAATCAGATCACTTGCTTCTTTGACAGAATTAAGTAGGATCCATGCCGCTCTACTTTTGCAAAATTTTCCTTCTTTATATCGTTCTGTAGTCCATTGAACGTCATAGTTACGTAGGTTAAACAAATCTCATCCTCAGTCAACATGCACCGATATGATTATGCTAATCTTGATGGTTTGAATAACGCTTCGGAGTCGGCGAATCTAAGAATACTTGAAAGGAGGTTCTCTTACCAAACCTATTTTTCTAGCTAGGATTTGAATAGGTTGCATAGTTCGAAGTTCAAACGAAATTGTTTAACTTGCTAGGCTTAATCAAACAAAACAAGGAGAGGAACTTTATGAAGAGCATTTATACAAAATTTACATGGTTTCCGTTGTCTTGCTATTCTTTTCTTCTGTATATGCCTTGTTGAGTTACTGGAAAAAAGTGTAGGTCATATCATCTGGCTCTAAAGTAGTTAGTAGGAATGTTTGTCATTCCATAATCGTACCTCTGTCCTCTTTCGTGTTCCTGGTAGCAATTCGGACCGTTCAGGAAGGAATCCGGAGCGGTTCTTCTTCCGTGGATTTGCTAGATTTTGGTCTCCAGCAAAAAAGCGTGCAGTTTAACTTTTTCGGAACTCCATAGCACGTCATTGTTTATTACCGCAGATGTCGTAAAATTATATTCGCAAGGGATCTAACATTTTTCTCTAGACCTTTTGTGCTATATCGAAGCGATGTTTCTGCTCGCACAGTTGTAAGTCATTATGGGATGATTATCTTTAGATGGTATTTATCTCGAATTCTGTAAAGGGAGTTCTAATAGTTCGTAGCTTTAGTCGTGGATGATAGCAGATATGCGATCCTAAATCTTTGGTGGCGATATCGATACCTGCTCTTGAGTTCTTCGACAGAAAACATATGGGCATTGAAGTCACTAATTATTGACCGTTTCTCAATTTACTTTTTTGCGGAGGAGATTTCGTTTAGTGATATGGTAATGTTCGACTTGTTCCACCGTGGTTCAATTAAAACTCTTCTATGGCTTGTATCTGAACAAAATCTTCGTCAAAAGAAGAGGCTAGCCAAATCTAGCATAGGATCTTAGCGATATGGTGGTTCTATGGTGACATTATTTCTTCTTGGTATTAATGTAAACTTGAAGTTACTATTGAGACTGACTTAATCCGTTACCGTTGGTCGATTCCTTCATCCACCTAGGATTTCCTTTTTACAGCAAAGAAAGCAGCTGGAAGAGACACAGGTGAACTGAAATCAAGCGACACGGCTTCCGTTCCCATATTTCTGTGCTGGCTGTGAAATTCCCATCATCTCCATAGCGCATTGTGGACATGCTATTTTTCTCCGTCTCCGCTGACATCCTATGCGACATCAGATTTCAAAGTCACTCACAGAGAACTTCACTGCTCACATTATAGACAAAAGCACCTAATGTGCGGTGTAATCAAGCTATTAAATAAGTGGTTAAAGGTTTTAGAGATTAAAGATTTTAGGACGTTTTCAGGTAGACAGCTCTGAAAGATTGCAAAGAAGCTTGCTTTGTTAACACTTGCTTTCTAACGAGGCAATCATAACCGCTGGCATTGGCTCATTCTCAGCTGGATTTCCGGGTGGTATGTCGTACTAGTTCGTGTCACAGCAGATCCTATTACAAAGACATGTCGTTGCTCACTTAGATGGTTTCATAGCCAGCTAGACCCGAATCTGTATGCAGAGTTAGAAACCGGCTTGGAGATCCAGATGAAATATAGACTATGAAGGTAGCCGACTTAATCGCAAGAGTTCTGTTCGACTCCATATGCTTCGAGACAATTCTCATTCCTACTTCCCACAGCATGTTCATTTTGTCGATTTTTCGCAGTAGATAACTATAATATAACAATGTAACTAGATATAACTACTGTGTTCCAATAATAACTATATCATCTTCCGTTGATGAGGTTTTGCTTTACATACATGACCCGTGAAATCTAAAAAGAAAGTCACTTTTCGGAGATAAAATCCGTAAAAGTTCGCCACACGATGAAGTTTTGATGAACGTTCCTCTTCGAGAAGTTCTCTTGTAATCAAAGCTTCTGATGTAAACTAAGTGCATCATAAAGGAACAGTCGTTGTTTTGGAAAATATGCGGTGCATTCGATCCAATTTTGATAACTTTCCGGAGACAGTGCCAACTTAATGGTCTCAACGAATGAAATCCTGCAGCCACTTGTTTTTCTCGTCGTCACATGCAGTGTTTCTGAAAATCATCCTTCATGTGATTTCCGCAAGTAATAATCTTCGGTTATATCTTTCTACTTCTGTTCAACAAACACGAGGTGCTATTTTATTTCTTTATTTACGCACGAGCTGACTTTTCGGTGGATTTCGCCTTCCTCAGAGCCTGGAAGGGTCAAGTTGACAGCAATCCATTCGGCCAAACACCTCCATAACCAAACAGAGAAAACGCTAAACCAAGATTTCAATTACATTTAGCATAGCTTTGCACACTCACCGCTTTCTATGAGTCTTCCATTGAGTATGTCGCGTGAAGATCGACCGCACAGAATTCACTTGGAAGCGTAATGTGCCCTCCCATCAGAATAACAGACTTATATACTGTCCAATATCACGCGTGATAACAAGGCATTCCCACCTGCGGTTCATTTTCGGATTCTCGGAATTAATCCAGAATGCCTCTAGAGTTTTGCGCGCTTGTGTTCACGATTCTTGCGCGAGGATCGTAACCCTTACTTCAAAATCTTCTCCGTTATGTTTCTGCGTGCTATGCGTACCTAGTGGAGTACTTGGCTTACGTTTGCCGACTAGGTGTTCTTTTATACCTACGCAGAGTGGTCTACCCGTTTCGCCAACGTATTTGTCCCCGCACGCTTTACAAGAGATCGGATAGACTGTACCCGAACTCATGCAGTCACCGTCTCTACCATTGGGCATATTATGCAATTTTGCGTTGCACATAGACGGTCGTATAGGCTGTTACGAACTAGCTGGCGCCTTAGATTACTCGGTAGTATTTCGATTATCGTTACCGAATTCTCTAGACTGGCCCTTCTTAAACAGCGTTTTATAGCTGCATTTACTTCATTTGAAATGAAGGGCAGTATAAACGGGACCTTGTTGTCGCTAGAGTTATCGTTGGGGTACCTGTGATTTCCTCTGCACCTATCTCGAGCTACGGTTTCGTAACCATTAAAAATGGCTATTTGCCGCGCCAAGTTCCGGGACTCCTCTCTCTGTTGTCTCCCTGTGCACATGCTGGTAGCCGTTCGATACATGTTTCTCACAAGCGCCCTTTTCGTGTGAGAGGGATGGGAGGAGAGGTAATGAACTAGGATGTTTTCACTACTTGGCTTTCGATACCAGTTCGTAATGTAGCCGTTTTCTAATAGGCTAATTTTTACGTTCAGAAATGGAAGCCAGTCTTCTTTTGGTTTCTCTCGGTTGAATTTAATATACTCTAACTGTGTGTTCAACAACTCGAAACATCTGTCGATTTCTTCTTGCGTTGAACAAATGTCCAAGTAGTCATTTATATATCTACAGTAGAGTAACGGACCGAGGTCGATTACTGGCGCTTCCACCTTAGACATAATTGAAATGGAAAGGCTTGGAGCTAGTCGTTGTCCCATTGCCGATTCTCTTATTTGAGCGTAGTACTTTCCGGACCATCTGAAGATTGAGCAGCCCAAGCATTCTT